AGCTGTAACGATGAGCAACGCGATGAGCGAGCAATCAGCGATCATAAAATCGCTAGTTGTGACCTTCTGAAAGCAAAATTGACTAATTTTATATGTCATACACAAACTTTACCACCTCTTCTTGCATCTTACAAATAAAAATTATCATTATAGTATCTCATTGTTTCATAATTACGAAAAATAGCATTTTAGCTGTAATGAGCAATTGCAAGCCTGCCTCTAATTTAAGGGACTTTCCGATTTCTTCGACTGAACGTTCTTTCTGAGGAATGAGCTTTCGTAACTCTTCTGAACTACAGCCCCCTGCAATCGTATAGACTAGCATAATGTCGGATATAATTGCCCGCAACCCGGAAAGCCTGGGTATTTTTCAAAACCGCATTCCCCAATTTGTTGACGTACACGGATGTTTGTGGCGTTCTATTACGCTATTACATCCTGTCGTCCTGGTTGAAAAAAACATATCAAAAGCTAGGATGGCCACATCATAGTTAAGCTTTTCAGGTGTTACATAGGAACATTTTTCCCCATATGGTAGATTCTGGAAAAGCGCTTGCAGTTGTGGCCCTACGAAATACAATAGCTTTGACCGCTTTTTCTTCTGATGTCTTCAGATTTCAAATAACACTCAAGGGATCATTTCTAGATCACTCATTTTCTATGCAGTTTTCCTTTATCTACTTCGTTATATCTGAACCACAGACAAACAGACGTAACATTTTGAACAGGTTTTTCTTGGAAACATAGTATCTCAAAACATAGGACCTCAGTAATGACATCTCTTGGGATTCTCGCGGAAAATAAGCTTGCTCACCCGTAAAAAAAGAACCATAGAGGTGCAACAATAGAATTTATTGTATTCACAATAAACCGTACAACGTGTCTAAAACAATAAAGTAACAATTTATTTATTATAATCAACAATAGAATCTATGGTAAATGGGGAAATCTATAATAGACAAGGGGTTTTGTTATGTATCTTAACCATACGAAAAATCACTGTTTCCCGAACAAACTTGAGCCATTTACCGTTAATTGCGAGGGGGCGACACATCTAAATCTCAATTTTAGATGCTCAACAAATCTCACACTAGCGAATCAAACTTCGAAAAATCTTCTTTGTTTTCTCGCATCTACTTGCATCGCGCATCATCTTTTTGCAGGAAATCTTCAAAATCGTCATCAATCTTCTTCATATCTACTCAGTGTGCGCGCAGCTAACCACAGCAAAACACAGTTTTTACTGCATCGTAGATATAGTCGCCCCCCTCGGTTAATTGTAATGTTGTTCTATTGTTGAAAATCCTTAAGGTTATTTTTTCTGGGCGCTAACTCGCAAACAATATTGCTTAAAAGTTCTAAGAATGTATAGAAACGTCAAAGTGATCCGATGCCAGCGCTGCGGCGAGTAGTTCGCGGAACTGATAATATTCAAATCAACCGTTAAAGGCGTGAACGAAGATACATAATGAAGAGTTACATCTGTTTGTCTGTGTCTGAACGGTGGCAAGACTCGAGATCGAGACTGTACAAACTAAAAAAAAAAAAATAAATAAAAAAAAACAACATTTTTTTTCAGTTAACCGACCATATTGATTCCCATTCCGATATATGAATCAATTAAATCTCTATGAACATTTCAAAAGGTCCTATCTGCCTTGATAGATTCTCTACATCGACTTTCTCTTTTGATAACCACTGCTATGTTTATGTTAACGTCCAAAACACAAATACAACATGCAGATAGGACCTTTTGAAATATTTATATTGAAATAAACTTCTTCAATTCTCAAGCCAACATTAACTCAGGCCAATATTAATACCCAAATCGATTGAATTATCTTAGTTGATCGCATTAACCTTGCCAAAATCCAATTCGGTTGCCAAATCGATTATATGTTCTTATTAGATTTAATTGACCAACACTAAACTGTTTGCATCAACGTCAAATCCACATCCAAAATCGATTTCAAAATTGATATCCTTAACTTTGACGATTCCCAAATCGAAACCATCAGCACTGTCAAGTCAACATCTGAATCGATTTCCAAATCGAATAAAATAACATTCGATTTTCAATCCGAGCCTTAATCGATACCCAAATCGATTGCATCAACCACACAGTTCGAAAAGTAGTGTAAATTTCTGTTCAATATGATGCACATAAATGGAGCGTCATATATCATATAAGTTTACATTATATATCATGTAAAGTTCTGGCACATTTCATGTAATGTAGCAAATATTGTATACAAAAGCCCATCTTTGTAAACAACATTGTTTACAAGTTGCTCGGTTGCGTGAAATTAAATTTATGTTTACGTGAATGAATGTTTACATCACAATTAAAATTCAGAATTTTTATCTGTGCATGTCGGTTCTCAAATCGATAACATCAACTTCGTGGATTCCATTCATGCAATAGCAATAATATTCCAATTGATTTTTTCAAAGTTTCCACCATTCTATGTTTATCTTCATGTCCTGTCGTTTTAGCACTCAATCAAAATTCACAACTAGGGGAAAAGTTGGCTTCGGCAATACCTTAACCTATTATCATCAGGGGGTAAACAACGTCCTTGAGAGCTCAATTTTGGCATGTGGATACACTGTGTTTCAGAGCAACTATTGGCCAAATTTGAGTGCTCTAGGACTTTGTTTACCCCCTGACCCCTGACATCCCCTATTATTCCACTTGCCAAAAAAAAAATTATTTAATCGGAAAAAAACTAACTAACTTCCATACATGTTTCTTCTGTTTTTCCCCTGATTCCGATCATTGCCCTTTTCACTAAGGCCTTTCGCTTATGTGAGTCAGCCATTTTGAAGACAGCTCCATTTTTCCAGAGACGTTGATAGAGGCGCGCAAAGAAAATTTCTGTCAAAACAGCAGCACGGTTTTTGAGGGATCTTTTGGCAATGTTTCTTAGAGTGGCTACAAATGACTTTCATTCAGTGCCGCAATGTTGTTGAAAATTTTTGAATTTTCGACCGGAACTGAATAAAAATGATGCTGAGAATCCATGAGGCGTACAAAGTTCGTTCAAATAAGTATGAAAGTCGCCCCATGACAGTTTAAATGTTGTCATATTTTACTGTTTTGCTTGCAGCGTAATCATTTTTATTACCATAAAACTGAATGAAACGTTCCGATTCGAAATTGTTTTTTATCACTAATAAATATTGTATTTAGTTGAATCAACAATAAATAAATAAATAACAGATATCAAATATTTCGAGAATAATAAAACACTTTCATCATTGAGAACAATACCCCTTTCTGGTGAATTGAGCGAACAGTAATGTTTATTTACTTTGCTCGTTTGGTTCAGCGTTTGACGGTTCGTTTGGTTCTTCTTGATTCAGTCTATGCGTGTCTCTATTCAACGTCTCTGCATTTTTCCACGTTCGGAAAATATTTTCCCAACCGTTTAACTGATGCTCACCAATAGATTTCCAAAACTCCCTTTTCCTGCTTCTCCTCATCGCCAATTGTCGAGTCTTTACGCGAATAATACCACCCAATTCACTGTTTAATCAATTTCAATCACAAATCATGTCCGATCACATGTTTTTGCTGAAGACAGTAAGTCGCTATTCGACTCAATTTTGAGTTGTTGTGAGTTACCATGTATTTACTTAGTCGGTAACTCGCAACAATTCGTCAATTTTCCTCATTTTCCGGTAGATTTTTAAGGTTTACCACAGGATAACATCAGACAAATAAATTCATAAAATAATACACAAAAGTAAACATTTTCCTAAATTTTCAAGAACCCATTTTTTAATAAAAAAATGTCATACACACTAAGATTTATTTTCGTGTTCGGTAAATTTTACCGAAATCAGAACAGCTGAACGTTTGGTAAAACTTTGACCTTCATTTTAAAGGCTATTGAACTTGAAAATAATTTCAAAACATTTTCAACCTTGCTTAAATGATCAAATCTTGTCATTTGAGTGGAGATCTAGTTTCAAAGTAGCTGAAAAGCAATTGAATTGAATTCCATAAATTTTACCGAACAGTTAAGCTGTTCAGATTTCGGTAAAAATTATCGAAGTCGGCGATAGTTTCTAAGTGTGTAGGCGAACGGTAATCCAAATGATAGAACTATTCCACAAATGGTTTGGATGATACCCCGAACACGCCGTTAAGCAAAATAATCATACAAATTTTATTAGGGTTATTTTACAGCTTCATACACTTACACACTTTATCTAACTCGGTAAAATCTCCAACAGCCAATTACCTCGGCATTTACTTTTGCTAATATATCTGCAAAATATCTGTTTGTTAGCTGATATCTCAGCAAAATGATATTTGTAAATGTGTAATAATATGGGTAATTTTATACCCATCAATTGGTACTTACAAGTTACAGTTTGTCCCGAACAGAGGAGGGGGGGAGTGTTGGCACAATGCGATCAATCTGATCATGCTCAAAACTAAAATGTCAATCAGTTGCTGAACATTATTTACATTATGCTGACGACCGTTAAATTATTTTTAGGAGCAGCTGGCTCATCAGCGCGAGTGAACCAGCACTAATGTAAACAGGGCATCAGCACCCAGCATCAACCGCGCGCACACACAGCTGTTGTACGAGCCGCGATAAACAAATCAAATCTCCCCACCACTACACTGACACCATAAGCAGCATGCGGGCGCCGGATCACGACGGCCGAACAAAAAGCCGGTAAACAAACGGAATGTTTTCATTCCGCGCTTGCAGGTGTGCGTATGACTTGAATGAATCCCGGTTGCCTTTTTCATTGATGGTTGTTGATTTCTGTACCTGCTCACATACACCAGCAACCGTTAGCTTGGGATGTGTGTTGCTTGTAGAACATAATCGTACGGTACGCCGTAGCGACGGCAACGATTACGGGAGATTGGTTCGATTCGACCGAAAACCGAAGACCGAGCGAACGGGTACATTGTGTGAGAGAATTTAGATTTCAATTTTCAAGAATCTCTCATTCAGCGTTGAGAACTGGTGTCGGTCGGATGTACGTCGCGTTGGTTCAGGACGATTTTTTTTCTGCTGGTGGCATTGTGTAAAAGTTGATAAAGCAAACTGTCAACAGGAAGAAGACACAAGGTGTGCGTTCGCCAGCTGAGGATCGCCAGCAACAACAGCAGCATCCCATTCGCGTTTAGATTGTTGTTATTGGGAAGAAGACGTGGTTCAAGAAGAAAATCAGAAGCGATCGAAGCAAAAGAAGTGACCGGGCAAGTTCTTTCTAGATAGTGGTGTTGTCGTCCGTCCGATGGCGACGAGATGATGTTGAAGGTCGCGATGTGAATATTGTGCAAGACTTTTGACTGCTCGATAGAGGGATAGGGCAATAAGGACAACGGCGACGTGAGTTTTTGTGTTGTGCTCCGCTCGCGTCAGTAATTATTATTGCTTTCGATATTATTCTTGTTGAAGAAGAAGTGTACAAGTCGAGTGTGGGCCGTCGCCGCCCGCTGGCGTTCTGTCTCTGTTGTGTAGATAGATTGATGCTATACCACAACTCCACACATGGCGACGCGAGATTGCCGAGGGCCGTAATTGAAGAATAGCAGTTTTAAAAGGTTTGAACCGAAAACAGGAAATGAGTATGTGTATGAAGAAGAAGAAGGAGCAGTAAGGTGTCAGTTCAAGTGGATGATTATTTCTTTGCCGTTCAGTCAGAGAATAAGAAACGGTTCGAAATTGGTAGTTGTGATTTGGTTTTTAGTGCATAATTGTGATTTATGAAAAATCATACGATAATAGTAGAGTGTTGAAGACTGCGAAACCAGTCAGCCAACGTTGTGTCTATTGAAGAAGTGTGAGTATTGGGTAGAATTGTAACTGCCGTGGTGACGGTGACTTTGTTTATTTGCTATGGCAAATATAGGTATCTCTAGCGGTATCTCAGATCGATTGTTGGCCAAAATTATCTTTTTCGTAGTAATTCATGCAGGTGAATGACAAATGTAATCGTAATCTTACTTTCGGTTGTTTGATTGAAACTGCTGATAACGCAGCACAGGGAGGCTTCAGTGTAGTGATGGATGATTCTGTCTTCCATCAGGGTATCCATAAAATTTATAAACTCGATGTACGATTTAACCTTAGAGGGGATATACCTACTGTATGGCTTAATACTTAATATTAGGCGACTAGAAATAGTCGAGAAATGCCAATAAGAACTATAAATAATAAAAAAAAAATATATATATATATATAACGCTGGACATATAAATAAATCAATGATGTTGATCTTGGATTTTGAAAAAAATAAAATAATTTTTTTTATTGGACTAAGACACATATCCAATACCTTGGACTGAACACAATCTTCAAAATTTTGGGATTAACTATTGTACCCCAGGCTTCGAAACATTTCTTAGGTTGCGGACTTTGAAGATTCTAGACTAATAACCATTTATAAGATTCTAAACATAGAGAAAACTGTAAATAATGAGAATTTACTAGAAGATCTAAGACTTGAAAAAAAATCAACAATGTATAGACGACAAGTCTTGGCTTTTGGGAAAAATATCAAGTAAAATCAAGCTCCGGAACTACACATTTACATGTTTGTTTTAGGAATTTCGGATTCTCCAAGAACCCTAACATGAACACAAAAAAAAATGTTGGAGAGGATAGACGATCCAACCAAAGACTGAAAGCCTCTATAATGAAGATGCAATAATACTAATATTGTAGGAGGTCTCGAATAAATATTTATCTGGATTCACTCACAAAACTATGATTGAAACCGTAATTTGATTGTATTTTGATAGATATCTTCTATTTTATTCAATATTTGATTTTGAATTACCATCATCATAATTGACCTAATCGATTAATGAATATTGATATTTGATTTGAATCACAGTCAACTGTCCCTTACTCGATGTTTAAGTGACCATTTATTTAGGGCGGTATTGAGATACAGAACATCGAAAAAAAATCACAAATCCTTAAGTTCATTATATTATTTATTATTAGAGCTAACTTTCATTTGAAATTGAAAATAAATTTTCTTGTTATATTCGTTAGTGAGCCAACGTTAACTTTTGTTTTTAAATCTTTTGACATTATCCAAAAATCTTTTGAGTAGATCACAATCATGCTAAACTTTCTTTTTTTCCTTGATTTTGTTTTTCGTCGATCTTGTTTTCCGTGCTGAGCACCAATGCTACCGACGCCAGGGAGAGCTCCCACACCTGGACCCTTCCTATCGACCCATCAACTCATGAACCGGGGACCAACGACTTTACTTCCCTTCAGAAGGAAGGCGTGATCAGAGATGTTATGCCTCAGAACATCCCGGCGGCGCCGACTGGGATTGAACCCAGGCCTGCTTATCACTACACCATCGGCACCGCTATGCTAAACTTTGAATCACAATAAATAATGTTACTGCTACGGCTTTATAAGTAATATTTAATCGACTTTGGGAGGTAAAAATACATGGAGTAAATGAATGAAAACATATCCAGTAAGGGATTGAGTTAGGGAAACATCGAATCAGGGAGGCAGAGTGATGCTTGGAAAATTTAAGGACTTTGAAAATCATCGAGTTTGGGAAAATATCGAGATACAGAGTATCGAGTAATGGAGAATTGACTGTATCTAATATTTTATTTCAATTCACCATCTTAAAGCTGATATTGGTTGCAATTTTAATTCAATATCAACTGAAATCCACTGAGAAGGCTTTCGGTGTACTATGTGCTCCGAGAACCATAACCTGTAATCCACTGCCCTAAAATAATTTTCACCATATTTTTAAAGGAATTCCTTGCAGACTCTTGGAATTCATTCTTATTAATTCTCACGAATATTCACATGCGTATGTCTCAAGAATTCTGATTTATCCAAAAAGGCTTTGATAAGCTGTCAAGTGCTTGTGGGAGATCAAAAGCTGGCATTCCCAAGCTGTGAAGACTACATTTAGAACCTAATAAACGTTAGTTGTAGTTGTTACGACTGTGTCTTTGCCTGTCTGACCATCCGCCTAGCCCAGTCAAGGAAGGAATCCCGCAGCTGACCGGAACGAAGCTATACATGAATGCATTGGAAGTATCTTCTGTACTAACGGTAGAAGCGAAATGGGATCAAACAGACAGGAAGGCCAAGTCTGTACTTGTGGGATTTGTTGCGGATGAAGTTGTCCGAGAAAAGGGAACAGCGTCTGAAATGTGGAAGGCTCTGGAAGAAACCTTGACGAAGCGGTCTGTTTCAAGCCAAACGTTGCTCAGAAAGTAATTGGCGTGGTTTATGGAAACACAGTCTCGTGGTCAAGCAAGAAGCAAACGACGGTGGCCACCTCCGCCAGTGAAGCTGAATTCGTAGCATTGAGCGCTGGTGTGGCAGAATCAATTTGAATATCTGGACCTGTGGCCATCTATGAATACAACCGTAGCTGTATAGGGATGACCCAAAACCTGAAGTGCAAACGAGCAAAACATGCGACAAACGACATCAAGCATCATTTTATTCGTGACCACATCGCAGTTGGACGTGTACGGGTGGAACCCGTTAGGAAAGACGAACAATTGGCAGATATTTTCACGAATGCTTTGGACGTTGGAAGATTCGAAAATCTACGCCGGACTATGGACTCCACAAACGAGAGGGGGTGAAGAAGTAGGCTTTGATAAGCTGTCAAGCGCTTGTGGAAGATCAAAAGCTGGCATTTCCAAACTAGCTCCCAAGATGTGAGGATCACATTTAGAACCTAATAAACGTTAGTTATAGTTGTTACGACTGTGTCTTTGCCTGTATGCCCATCCGCGGAATTATTTCTCGAATCCCTGAATTCTTTCCGCCTTTGGAATTCTAAACAAAATTCTCAAACATTTCTTCGGAGCGCCCAGAATCCTTAAAAAAAATCAATTCTAAGAGCTTTGAAACTATTCTGAAGGCTAGAATCTATAGTTTTATCAATCCAGTTTACAGTCCAACAACATGAATATTTCTGTATGTTTCATTGAAGGCAGAATTTCTCTTAGGTCCTCATTACGGGTGTCACTTCACGGTGAAAACGAAGTGAAGCGATCAGTTGTCACTCACGGTGAAGTGATCGCCGTGTTATTCGAATGAGACTACGGGCCTTATTACGGGTGTCACTACACGGTGATAAGGAAGTGATACTCATAATAAGAGCCGTGATTGCCGTACAAATCAAATCAACGGGGCTTACTACGGATGTCACTTCACGGTGAAAACTTGTCACTTGTCGTCACGGTGAAGTGATTCCCATTTGATTTGTACGGCAATCACGGCTCTTATTCCGAGTATCACTTCCTTATCACCGTGTAGTGACACCCGTAATAAGGCCCGTCACTTCACCGTGAAGTGACATCGGTAATAAGAGCCCAAGTCTGAAAAATACAAGCTTAAGAATCTTGAAATCTCAGTGCTAGTATCTGGGTTCATTGTCCGCGGTTCTCAATGCTTTCCTTGAGTTATTTTTATCAAATTCAAGAATTACATAAAATCTTAGTTCAATCTTCACTATCCAGGGATCTCTTATGACCAATACAGCCCAATAACGATCGATTTAGGGGCCTTCAATAATAATCCATGATTCTGCAACTCAAACAAATGTCGAGGCTCTGAGGCTTTGAAAAATTAAAATTCTATTATGGGTCTTGGAATAAATTGGACCTGAAGCTCAAACATTTTTCAGAAGCACTTTCCTGAAATTATAATATTTTTTAAAAATGTCGGGAAACTTAATTTGTTGTTCCCCTTCTGCCCCCCGGCGTAGTCCGAGAAAGGTATTTTGTTATTAAATATCAATATTTCTTCACATCTAAGTTTCTAACTTTTAATTTAGTCATTTTTTTTTGTAATTCCTCGAAAAAAAAATTCAATGTACCAATGGGGATTCTTGATTTTGAAAGTAAAGAAGGTTTTTAAAGTATCAGAATCTCACTTTGAATATGTACCACGAACATTTCTTAGCAATAATTATTAAATGCTTCCTTTGTCTACATTTTTTTTATTTTTTTTTTACATTATGGTCGCGTTACTCTTGGGTCATTCGTGACTCGGGGTGAGATTTGAACTCGTGACTTTGGCGTGAGTTGTATAGATGCTAACCGCTACGCCGGGGTCGCCCCCGTGTCTACATTACCTTAATAATTTCGTTGGAACTCTTCACCGGTTTTTGTATAATTTTTGTCACGAATAAACTTTGATCTCGTTTTTGATTCATTCCATAATTTCGAAGAGTTTTTGTCACAATTGTCTCTGATATTCCCTTAAAATTTTACAATTAAAACGGGTTAAGAGTTATATTCAGAAAGCTATTGGAACACTTTCTAAAATTCTCTTCGAATTCTTAATTATTTTCGCAAGAACTCGCTTAAACTTTCCTTCATAAAACTGTTGAAGTTATCATCAAAATTCCCTTGAATCCTAACTCGTAATTCTCTGGAATCTATCCCTTCAGCAATGGAATTTTTCTTGAAACTCCTTTGGAACTATCATCAGATTCAGATTCCCTTATAATTCTTATCCGAAATCACTTGGACTTTTGCCTGGTTATCATTGAAGTGAATTGCTTGTTACAAAACGTCTGTAGACATATCCAAATGTCTGTAAAACTATCATCAGAATTATTTTCAGAATCCACAAAATTCCGATGGAACTTTTCTCTAAATTCATATGGAACTTTCCTCAAAATTCCGATGGAAATTTTCTCAAAATTCCGTTAGAAATTTGCTCAAATGCTATTGGAATTTTTTAAACCACGATCTCCATAGTCAGAATTTGCTTGGTATTCTACTCGTGTCGTGTTTATGTTTACTATAAGATGTGAATCTC